AAAAAAAAAAAAAAAAAAAAAAAACAACTTACAAACAAAACGGTCTCTCGCAGTGTTCGCCGCGGGGACAGACGGCCGCTTGTCGCAGACGGACTGCGCGCGTTTCGCGACGAAATACATTATCGGTGTTACGCGTGTATTTAGGTATATAATTACTATTATTATTACTTGCCGACGGCGCGCCGCGTTAATATTTTCCGCGGTTTTTCGAACTTTACAACCAAATAAAAAAAATAAAAAATAAAAAAAAAAACAACCTTAACACAGTCGTTTTTCCCGCGAAAAATCGATACATGTTTTGTCGACTAAAACGATGTTTGAACGATCGCGAATCGCGAAAATCCGTTAAGACAATGAACATTAACGGTTTTTAACGTGGGTTTTGTGATTCTAGTTTGAAACCGGATCAATCACGATGGTAACAAGTAAAATACAACTTTTTAAAATTAACTTAACGATTACGTATTACTTATACGTAGGGAACGCATTTTTATGCACAAAAAAACGCTTAAAAATTTCATAAAAAAGCACTAAAAATATTTAAAAGAGCAATAAACGTATAGAGGGGTTTAAAATTTTCCTTATCTATTGTTTTTTAACGTATTAAAAATAATTTCTCAGCACTAAAAAAACGATCATTACAAAGTAATTTTCTTCGAACATATTTGTACGTGTTGCATTTTTTAATATTTTTTACTGCTCTTTTGACAATTTAAGCGCTTTTTAGTGGATTTAAAATACATGTAAATCCATTCCGTACTTATGATTATTTAGTTACTATATAGCTGTTAATACAAATTTAATAATAAATCAAAAACCACGTTCGAATTGCGTTGCGTGTAATCAGCTTTATACTCGTTTATTGATTTTATTATATTTTTAAGGAAAACAGACATGGCTTAATTCCAAAGAAATTTATGTAGGCAAATGGTAAGCATTTATGGAGAGGGGGAGGGGAGTGCTTATTTTACTTTTGGAGAAAAAAGATCCCGTACAGTGAAATATGCAGACAAAAAAAATATTTAATAACATTACGTACACATATTTTTATTTTACTAATTTTAAAAAAAGAAAAATTATATTATAACAATATACTACTAACTTTTAGATCCTGAGTATAGCAAAGAATGTATTGGTTTTACAAAGATGTTTATTTTTTTATTTTTATACTGTGTACAAAAAGTCTACCAGAAGTCTTGTTTGGATAGTCGGACATATACGCGCGGCACCATTTCTGAAAGAGAATGTTGTCCAGATGGTATTTTTAGGAGGTCATTTTTTGATTTTCTAAGCGGTTTTCATAATATCTGAGAAAAACCAGGATAAAACGTAAGAAAAACGAGAAATAACGAAAATAATGTTTTTATTATTTTCAATTTTGTTATTTGTTATAATTCAGTTGAACTTACTCGTAAAGGCTTAAAATTTGGACAGAAAACTTATATTTGTCTCTTCTAGACGTGATACAGTTTTCAAAAAAATGTAAGTCTATAAATGTATAAATAGCCATTTTTTGGCTATTTATAGACTTTTTCATAATGAGAGCTTTGTACGTAATATTTATTCGGTAGGTACTTTGTGGTAAAATTGTTAGACTTGAACAGAAATACTTTTAAATTTATTGCAGATTTAAATCGGTATTGAGCGAATTGACTAAGTTACGAAATTAGAACTTTGTGAAGTTCTAATATTATGCGGAGTTTATGTGTTATATAATATATTAAATAACTCTACATTGTCATTTTTAAAGGATGTTCGTCGTGACCTCATGGTTAAATATACTTATTTTCATCCAATAGGAGTCGCGGGTTCAAACCCGTGTTTCGAAAAAAAATTGCTTGCACTTTTTTTTTCCCTTCTCCTTAAACAGGGAAAAAACAAACACATTTTAGGTGTACCTAGCTACCTGGATATTGCTTCCTTGGGCTATTTTAATCGAAAAATACCACCAGATTTATTGTGCAAACTTGTCTACCGGAAATCTTACTTCGATATACCAAGTTTAGCTTACTTTCGGAATAGAAATTGTATACACATGGTAATTTAGGGAGGTCATTTTTTGATTTTTCAAGTGGTTTTTACAATATCTGGGAAAAACCGGGATAAAATATCGGAAAAACGGAAAATGTACAAAATGTATAGGTATTAGTAAAACAATATTTTTTTTTTCTGTGTACAACGTTTTTACCAGCAATTTTGATCCGATTAAAAATTATAGCACTTTTTCTAAAAGTAATCTGACTGAGGAGGTACATTAAAGAGGTCATTTTTCGATTTTCTCAGAAATTTCTTCCTCAAAATTGAAAAACCGAAAAAAACTGGATAACGTAAGAAATGTATGTATTAAAAATGTTGTTTATATGTGTTAAAAGAATTACGATTTTTTTTTTTTTTGTTGCTAACTTTTCTACCAGTAATTTTGCTCTAACTTATAATGATAACAATTTTTCTAAAAGTAAATAATATAAACCATTATTAATATACAATGTATATTATACATGACATCGACAGCTAAAAATTGCAATATTCTATGATATTTTTCAAATTTTTTTTAAATCTGTGGAAGAATTGTCTCCCTTCGCTCATAGGGAAAGGTAACAAACTTCAAATCCATTTTTAAATGAAGAATGCCAAACCCTTCCCAACTCTTTCGGTCTGAATTTTAAACTAATATAATTCATGTACGATAAATCCGATATGAGTGTTATGCTGGTCATAATGTTTATTACAATATTTTGAAACGTATTCTCTATTCAAACCTACGTATAAAAGGAAGGACGTTGCTATTTGAAAATCACAAGTGTGTAAGTGTGTAAATAAGGATGAAAATGTGAAAATAATGTTAAAATAAGAAGTTTAAACGATTCCACAATGATTGAAAAAAAAAAATTTTTCGAGAAAATCGCTGTGGTTTGTGATAAATGGATCATCCTTCAGTGGTTAAAGTGAATGGACAGTGTCCCTCTTCTTAAAATTATCAGTCCCCTTTAGCTTAAGTCTTCGAAGTCTATGGGGACGCTTTAGTTATTGTCATTGCGATTTTTTTTTAAAGAAACGTTAAAAACTCGAACGAAAATGAATTCACGACGATTAGGTGATACACACGCTGTTAGTCCGACTAACGGGTGACACAGCAAAATCTTTACGCAGACTACGTAGAACTGCGTTAATTTTGGTCTAACAGTAATAGCAACTAATGTATACAATTAATTGAGGACGATAATTTGGAGGGTAAAGACGATGCGTTTCTTTTTTTTAAATTCATTTTTTGAAAATTTACGGTCGTTCAAATACGTTTAACTAGTTTTTAGTGTTATAAACGATGTATTTGGAATTACATTTAGAATAACGGAACAAAAAAACGCATCGTCTTGCCCTCCGGAATATTGGTCACTTTTAATTTTAGAATAGGCGCTTTTACTATAAAATCAAAAATTAATTCATTATCTGCGTGTGGTTGTTTTTGATATGTTGTCCGTTAAGTTGTACCGCGACAGCACATGCGGGTATCACGTCCCATCTTAATATCTATTAGATTATATACGGTAATTAGACCGTGTTTCATTTCATTTTTACCGAGCAGACATGCGCGTGGGAATATATATATATATTTATTTTTTGTTTTTTTTCGTTGTGGTGGGGGGGGGGGGGTTGTGCAGTTTATTTTTAAACTATATTAATATGTAGTTTGTGCGAACAAATTTGTATAAGAGAAAAACGCTTTGGGAGTCTTGTCTCCGCGATGACGGGTTTCCTGAAAGTTTTGTTGACGGTTTAATAAGTTCCCGGAAACGCCTCTCGATTTTCGGTAAATAGAGTCTCCTTCCGAAGTTTTTACCACTTTAACCGCCGTCATCCTGTACCTATCTATAATTTAATATACGTCCGTCTCGTTTTACATTTTTACCGCGTTATTAAATAACGACGTATCGTAATCGTTTTGAATTCTCGTCCGAAATAATAATATTACGTTACCTACGTAATTATTAATTAAACATGCGCGAAATTAGAACGCTCCGCGATGATTATTATTCGTCTCGTATTGAATGTTATAATGTTTTGTAGCAATTATGTTACGCGCCTAAATTATGACGGTACACCCTATACCTATCCGGCGAAAAATTATTATTAATAAACGCTTGTTTTTTTATTTTTTTATTTTTTTTTTTATTTTTTTTTCCTTCTAATTTATCGAGGCTAATATAAATTATTGATTTCGTTTAACAATGGACGCTATAATAGAACACCTATACATGTGTAGGCACACGCGTTAATAAATTATAATAGTACCAACATAACGTAGTCGTACGTGCGCGCCGGCGGTGTCCCGCGCATTGTGCAGACGGATAGGTATGGGCATTATCGTACATTATTATGTACAAGTTGAAAGAAATTTTCGAACGATTGCGGACGTTCAGTTTATAATAACGTCGACGTGTGCGTTACGTAACTATTATCGTCAATTAATTAT